CCCTGCACAGATGCAGGAGTATATCTTGGCCTTAGGTCTTAAAATAATGTGACATAAATTTCTAATGTCTGATTAACTGAGATGTAGATAACAAAATCTAAGATTTGTGATTAGGGCTGGTGATCTGGGGTATAACATAGAAAAGTAAGCCCCTTCCTTCCTTCCTTCCTTCCTTCCTTCCTTCCTTCTTTCCTTCCTTCCTGTTTGTACTGGGGACTGAGCTATATTTTTTTTTTTTTTTGTAAATTTTGACACAGGGTCTTATTATGTCACTAAGTCATTGCCTAGGCTTGCCTTAGCCTTCCAGGGTGCTGGGATTGATCACAAAGTATGCACACCACCATCCCATGTTTTTTTTTTTTTTTTTCTGTTTTTGGCTATCTACTCGTCAAACTCTCAAAAATCCTAGAATCTCGTTTTTCCCAGCATCACCTTATTTTCACAAAGAAACTGAAACAAACAGATATTAAACAAATTTTCAGAGAAAAGAGAGACACGGTGGTACCAAGAGCCTGGGATGACATCATCATGAGTAGTGAAGGCTGTATGTGGCTCTAGGCTTCAGGGCAGCAAGAAAGAATGGTTATGGATTGTGTGATTGTCCTCATTTGCTGAGAGGATATTTGTCTATAGACACAAATTTGTCATTCAAGCAGAAGTTCATCATAGATTCTTATATAAGGGCTAGTGAACAAGAGCACACTGTCTGCAAGGGTACAGCATCGAGGAACTTGGAGTAAGACACGGCATGGCTGAGGGGTGGTGATTCCAGAACTCCACAAGGAGGTGAGGGAGAAGAAAGAGGAGACTCCAGGCTCAGGAGAAGAAAACTGTCTGAGTTTTGGGAAGCGAGGACCCTTTGGTGTCTCTGACAGAGATGGTTGGCTGCCCAGGCCTGAGGTGTGAGCCCATTAGACGTTGCCTTCAGCTTCTGTTTGGCTTTTTGATTTTGTTTGGCTTTGTACTTCTTCCTCACACAGCCACGTGCAGCAGGTGTGAGGGAGGGGAGTGAGATCCCCCACCTTCAGCAGGCAGTCTGAGCAATAGGTCTAAAAGACAATCTTGTCCCCTCACCTGGGCTTCATCCAGAAGTATGTACACGACCCAGTTCTGACCTGTGGATGCTGAGAAGTCTGCAGGAGGATTCTGGGAAGTTTCTTTGTTTCAGAGAAAGTGTCAGCAGAGATGCTCTGTGCTCTTCCTCTGGATTTTGGGTGACACCTGGACCTCTTGCAACCTGAGGGTGATGTCAGCACTGAAGATGGTATCATCAGGCGGGCGGGAAAGAAGCAGGATTCTTGGTGACATGTTGAGTTGCTGAGTCAACCAACCTCACCTCTAAACTTCCTCTAACCTACAGTAACATGTTTTCTTTAGAGAAAAAATTTAATTTGGGGATTCAGTCATTTGCTACTCAAAGCATACGCTGTACAAGGATTTATTCAAACCCGAGGACTGAGGGTGGGAAGTGGTTTTAAATAACACATCTTTATTCCCATGGCTCTTATCTTGCTTAGAGGAGCATTGGCCATTAAACAACTGATTTCCCTATTAATTATTTAATCATAATAGTATAAAGTGCTACAAAGGAGAAATCGTATGAGAGGATTGATCTCATCTGAGAATCGGATATTCCTTTCTCAGTCACTCTCGACTGAGCTTTTAAATTTCAACTATGCTTCTTGTTAGAAGGTACTTTGCATTCTGTTCCAAGTTTTGCTTTTTGGCAAAGGCTTGTGGCATCCATCTGATGACTAAAGATAGGCATTAAATGTAAGCTCAACAGGCACCAAAGCTGCCAAGCGTCTGTGCAAGTTGTGGAGCCTGAATTGCTTTCCCTCTTGGATGGAGCAAGTTCAGCCTGCAGTTTGCCTGGGATGGGCGAATCCACTTCTGGGAGTATCAAAGAAATCTTGGGAAATTAGACAGCTGAAGGGGTGGGGACAGAAATGGGGGATTGTTCCCAGCAATGCAATCAAATATCAAACACATTACATGTACAGGTGGTATTAGCCATCATCAATCAGTGAACTTCTGATGACATGAGAGTAACATGAAGGTCCTTTGCTTCTTCTTTATTCAAAATCAGCCCATGCAAGTGAAAAGATTAATTTAAAAAACAACATGAACTCCATCTTGAATGACACAGGAGAGAAATTCGAACTAAAGGAAACAGTTGAGATCTTCTTAGAAACCTCTGCAAGATGAGAGCCAAGTGGAGGAAGAAGAGAATGCACAGGCTGAAGCGTAAAAGAAAGAAGATGAGACAGAGGTCCAAGTAATCTTGTACACCCATGGAGGCCAAAGGAGCAGAAATAAGGAATGCTGGAGGCTGAGGATGCTGGTACAAGTTATTGGACTGTATGCTGTCTAGAATGTTTTAGTGTGTTAGAAATTCATTGACAATGACAGCAAAGACCACCTCAAAGAGATCCACCTTGTTGATGACTAAAGCAGTACCTCCCATCTTTTGCCCTGGAGCTGTGGCATTCTGGACTACTTCTGTTCTTACTTGCGGCCGAGTGTAACACGTGTTCAATAAATCATCTCTTCTGTGTTAGCTGAAGGAAAAACAAAAGAGGTTTTCCCAGAGAACATGGTGGACAGATAGCAGCAGCTATGGAGGCTCTCTGAAAGACCCAGCTTAGAATTCAGGAATGGTGCGGAGTAAGGAATCATAAGTAAGAGGAGATATGCCCTGCTGACCCAAGAACGAACTGGGCTGAGAGAAACCAACTGGGAATGCAATCCTGGTGCTATAACAGGAACAGAAAAGCCTCAGTGTGGAAGCTGGAGCACGCGCCATTGGAAGCCACGATTTGGGTTTCCAGTCACCGCCACTGCTGCGTCTACATCCACTTGGCAGGGAGAGACAAGGGAAAGCTCTGAGAATGGGAATCGGTGAATGGAGTTGAAAGCAGGATGGGCGGGGAGCTGTGCATTGACTTGCGGTGAGTGAGAGAACTGGGACTCTTCCACTGTCTAGGAGACTCCAACAGAGGACATTCTGGGACCAGGCAGACTTGTGGGAACAGGGCGCTGCAGTGACTTCAGTCACTTACCCCCTCTCAAGCGGGATTGGTGAGCTGGGCCTAGTCTACGTGACGCTGCTGGCTGAGACCCAGTAGCTAGTACAACCCAGGTCCCAGCGCCTGAAGGTAGATTGACCTGGAGGGGTGGGCCCCACATAGGCTGCCTGGTCTGCAACTTCCTGGTGTGCTGCAGTGGGCGGGAACACCTAGCCGGCACAATTCAATCAGACTGTGGCCGACAGGGAAGGAAGCTGAGCCTCCTATATATGCTTGCATATATAAGGAACAAAGAATATGGGAAGGGGAAGCAACAAGAAAGGGTCCTTGGCCACCAATCCTGAGAAAGAGGCAATAGCAGACACAGCACCAATAGATATAAAGCGCTATCTCCAGAGCCTCATAGACGAGTTCAAGAATGAAGTTATTAATGACCTGAAGCTAGACAGAAGCAGAATAGTTAGAGAAATGCTAAGCACTACCTAAGAAAAAACAGATGGTGGAATGGAAGAACAGAAAAAGAGTGGAAAATTGTTTGATGGAGAAAATAGAGAAAGCATAGAATACATGAAGCAGGTTCAAAGAGATTACCAGGAAACTAAAAACTCTATTGAAAATGGCATAACAGCTTGAAAGAAACTAAGGACAGATTATCTGAACTGGAGGGCAGATTTGTAATATGGGAGAATGAAATGAAAAACTTCTTAAAAATAACAAAGAAACAAACAGCAATAATACAAAGACTAGAAGATGATAAGAGGGTCTATAACTAAAGAATTAAGAACATAAAAGAAGAAGTAGGGACACAAACAAATGAACTACAAAAGCTACTCACAGAAATAATCCAGGAGAATTTTCCTAATTTAGCAAAAGGTAAAGATACTCAATTGTATGAAGCATACAGGACCCCAGCCACCTACAACCCAAACAGAGCAATGCCCAGGCATATAATAATTAAAATCCCAGAAGTACAATACAAGAACAGAATATTAAAAGCTGTCAAAGACAAGAAACAGACCACTTACAAGGGAACACCCATCAGAATTACAGCAGATTTCTCGGCACAAACCATCAAATCACGAAGAGTGTGGGGGGAAATAATCCAAGCTTTGAAAGATAATAAGCTCCAGCCAAGATTAATATATTCTGCACAACTATCCCTGGAAATTGATGGAAAAACAAGGTGCTTCCAGGATAAAGAGGAACTAGGGGAATATGCAATCACCAATTCAACTCTACAGAGAATACTGCAGGATATTCTAAAAAAGAAAAATACGAAGAATCGAGAAATAGTGGCAGAGAGGCCACAATTGAGTGGAGCAGAAAACAAAATGAAGAAAACAAACTGACAACTAATGACAGAAAAAGAGCTCAACAGAATTGAGGCAGAGAAGATTGGATGATAGGAACAGCTATTTTGGAGAAAATGACATCTTAATAGGTAATACTGATTTAGTATCATCTCGTTTTGAAGTCTCAGCAAGCTTTTGTTCTTCTGTCTCCAATGGTCTAAACAGGTTGTATCTTATTGGATTTTATTATGTATGATAGTATAAGCAAAAACTTTTATAGACAAGGAGATTATACAGAAATCATTGTTCATTTTTTGTTAGTTGATTCTAAATACCCTGTAATACTGTCATTCTCTTAAATGGTTTTACATTGTTTTGATATATTTGATGCTACAGTATACGAAGTTATACTCAAAGATTTCAAGGAAAGAGACAATATGGTAACTACTTTTATGTCGGGATTATCTTGAGGTGAAACACTATTTTGCTTAAATGGTTATGTTTTGATCTGTGCTGTTTTGCTGTTATGCCCTCTTTTATCTCAATCTCCATTTTATTATTTACTTTTTTATTTTTATCCTTTTAATTAAGGGAAAAATAAATAAAAAATAGCAGGATATATTATAGTAACCCACTTTGACTATCCATTATCTTGATTTAAAGCCCTGTATTGCTCTCACCATCTTGTTTTGACTAATGTCTCTCTATTCTGTTTTGCTTGATAGTACCAGGTTCGAAAGTTTAGGCAACAGCTGTGATAGCGGGAGGCATTATGGTAACCATTGTTGATCACCTTGTATTATGCTTTTACATTATCTATTATGTCCACCCTTTTGATTTGACCGACTCTGTTCTGTTATGTCACATTTGGTTCTACTCTGTTCCAAAAAAGTAATAAGAACTGTTGGAGCAACAAAACCCAAAATGTGTAATTGTCATTGTACAAAAGAGAGGAAAAGAAAGTGTTCTAAATGATATAACTGCATGTATATTTAAGTGTATAAGATAGATAATGATATTACTGAGTTTTGTTGGATCATTGAACAGAACTGTTTGCAGTCTCACTGTTGGAATGTCCACTTTATAAGCTTTAATTTTGTAACTTGAACAATTATTTCTAAGATGACAATATGTAATCCATTAACTAGTGATTTCCTACTGTTTATTTTTTTCTGTAAATCTGTATAACTTGTACCCTTTCTCTGCTTTTTTTCTTTTTCTCCTTAAATAGAATTAAAAAAAAAAAAAAGAAAACAGTTGAAAACTCTTACCTTGCAAAAAGGTGAAGGGGTTGTGACAGACATGTCCAGCATCTCAGAGCTCCTCCAGCTCTCTCACTGTGGTTGCATCGCACTGAAGTATGGAGCACGTGTCTTTTCTCTTTTTGCCTCGGAGCATCTTCAATATTATAAAGGCTGCTTCGTACATGTGCAAGTAAAGATGCTTTTCTCAGGGGCTGGGGATTTAGCTCAGCGGTATAAGCACCTGCCTTGCAAGCAGGCAGTCGTGAGTTCAATCCGTGGTACCGATAAAAAGGAAAAAGACAAAAAAACAAAACAAAACAAAACAAAAAGATGCTTTTCTCGAAGGATGCTGATTAATACCACTGGGAACTGTCCTGAACCAAAGAGGATCGCAGAAAGTGTAGAGAAAAATGTCCAGTGCACGGGTGCATTTTCATGAGTGTGCTGGGCGTTGAACCCAGGGCCTCGTGTACACTAAGCACACTTCCTGCCTCTGAGCTACATCCTCAGCCTCTTTCCTCTGCTTTATGTATTCGTTTGTTTGAAACAGGCTCCCTGTTTCCCAGGCTGAGTTCACCCTCCTGCCTCAGCCTCTGGAACTGTGGAATTATAGCCGTGTGACATCATGTTCAGCTTGGGAAGACAGTTCTGAGGCACACTACGTACTCCTCAGCCCCCACACCACAGCAGCAGCCTTCGTAACGCACCCTTCTATTTCCTTTCCTTTCTTCTTTTGACTTGCTTTTCCCCATTTCTTCTTTCCTATCTCCTGAGATCCTCTTCCCCAACTCACCTATCTCCAGGTTTGTGTCTCAGATTTTTCTTTCGCAGGAAACCCCCTTAGCAGGAGATACTGCCAGAGGCAGACACTAAAGAAGCAGGTCCATTCTCCTGGCAGCGCACTAGAGCCTTAGGAACAGGAAGTACCAGCCTCTGGAAGGAGTCAGGCTATGCTCTTATTACGCCCTGTCGGATGGTACATGGTTTCATTATGTTCACTCTGATCATGTGATAAGATGGTATCTGCCAGGTTTCTACCTTGCAAATCTGGTCTCTTTCCCTTTGTAATTAATAAGCACTTTGTGACAGGTGTTTTGAGATCATGCTATACATTGTCAAACTTCCAAATATTTATTATTACATACAACAGTATGTGAATGGCTTCTTATATGCAGTTTGCTTACACAGTTGTGGATGCTGAGAAGTCCCAATATAGGCAATTGGAAGACTGAAGGCTTAGCAGAGTTGACGGTGTAAATTCTAATTTGAGTCCAGGTTCAGAAGCAGAAGCAGACTCATCTTCCAACCCAAAGACAGGCAAACAGAGCAAATGAATTCTCTCTTCCTGAAGTTTTATTCTGTACAGGCTTCAACTGATTGGACAAACACCACACCTGATCCCATGCTGGGGAAATCGATCTGCTTTACTGAGTCCACCAATACAAAAAATCTCCACCAGAAACACCCTCCCAGAATCATGTTGATAATGGGCACCCTGTATCCCAACCAAGGTGATGCATAAAATTAATTAATCGTCACAAGTGGATATGACCCATTATTACCACTCTTTATTTTGGTGTGAAAATTGTTCTAGATTTGGGCAGAGGAGGTGCCCACAAGCTGATGTGCTTATCCTCTTCATGCTTTGGATTTTCTTTGATTTCTGGAACAAAAAGTGATATTCCAGGCTCCTCTTGCTCTTTCCCTATTGAGCTCTGGAACCCACCATTCTCCCAAAGAGCCTTGGTTCCTTCAAGTGGACAATGACTTTTAGGAACCAAGAACTCAGGGATCCGTGCTCATTGTGTTTGGGGATCACTTTTTCCAGGTCCTAAGGGGCAAAGCTAGGAAGTAAATCTACCTATACCCCCAACACAAAAATAAAACAAAAACCATGTACACAAATATCCATAGCAACATTCATCATAGCCAAAAAATGGATATGACCAAATATCTATTAACTGATGACTGTATACATAACATGTCACATATCTATACAAAAGAATATTATTTGGTAATCAAAATGAACGAATCATTGATACATGCTACCATATAAATAAGCCTTGAAACTGCTATTCAGTGAAAGCCATAGATTTTCTCTATTTTTAGTTCTAGCTCAAGTATTTCTCTATCTCTAGAGAGATAAATATAGTAGATGAACAAGAAAATATTTTCAATACAAAGTTCTACCTCAGGGATAAACCCTGAGAACAGATTAGAGGTTGAGGATGAGTGACAGCTTGGGGAAGTTGGTCATATTTGAGGTTGGCTTTGATGGATGAGTGTTAGCTAAATGGTGAGGATAAAGAAAAACATTCCTCATAAAGTGAAGAGTATGTGGTAAACACAAAGACAGAACATCATCTAAGGGATATTTACCAAGAGTCTATTATGTGTTAGATACAAGGATGAGGGCTGGCATGCTAGCCAGATTCGGGGACAAACTCTTAGGCCAGATATGAGCCCTGGACCAGTACCAAAGATGAGGATGAAAACTAGCAGAAACATGGCTCACCCTGGGTTAAGCAGGCAGTTTCTATAAAGAAGAGTTCTCTGAAACATACTTCTACATGTGTCCTGCTGGATCAGTGAGGACTAGGGTTAGCCCGGCTCTCTTGAGAATCTGTGCAGTGCTGACAGCTTTTCCTGGTCTTCTTCAGATCACACATCCCCAACCTTCCCAAGACGGGATGCTACTGCTCCTAGCTGCAGTTGTGGCACCAGGAAGTAGACAGCAAGCAAATTAGCTAGGGCAGAGTTTGTTCTGAGTCTGCAGCTACGAAGACCAAAGAAGAGGATGTAGCTCCCTGGAAGCCTGGCTAGCGATGGTTGGGCCAACCCCAAGGGAGGCAGGGAAGACTCGGAACACAGATGCCTCTGGTATAAATGGCTCCCTGCTGGCCAGCTCAATTGTGTCTGACTCATTTCCATGAAATTACCACCCTCAAGCACTAATGAGGTGATGGTAGAGACAGCCAGTATTTTACATAATTCCCAGGAAGCGTGTACTAAGTGGAGACCAGGAAAGATTCCCTTGAATTTCCTAAGAACAATGAAGATGTGTGGGGAGGAGTGTCACTATGGTGAGAGCAGAAGCTAAGTGGTACCTGGAGGTCCCTGGTTGAGGAGCCAGCCCTGGAGTCCCTCTGGAATGGCCTGAAAGGATGAAAGAACTCCAACTGTTGGAGTTTTGTTCCAATACTGACTTGTATCTGGGACAGGCAGTATAGTGGTAGCGTCTTTTTGGCCCTGGACTCTACTTCAGCTCACAAACATACTCAAGCCTCATTCACCTTCATAATGAAATTCTCTCTCTCACGTGCCTCCTTCTCACATCATCTTTTTGGTGCTCTTCACAGTCAGATTTCTAGAAAGAGATGCTATATGCACATCCGCTGTGTTCACTCTCACCTCAATAGTTAGCAAAGGCAGTGAAGCAGCTGAAGCCAATCCTTCACCCGCTCCTCTCCTTTCCACCCCACCCTCACCCCAGGATTTAGCACTTTGTTTCACTCTTTGGAAATCCTCTTTCTCTGGCTTCTGAAAGGCCAGTGGATTCTCTTTCTATCTGTGACTTCTTTGAATCATCTTTTTCACAGAATTCTCATGTGAGGCTCATTCCTTCAATGTTGTTTGCTCAGGGCTGTCCTTGGCACCCTGCCCTTCTTGCTCTGGGAGACCTCATCCATCCCTTTGGCTTTAATCAGTTGCTTACAGGTTGACACTTTCAGCTCCATATCTCTTCCGTGGGCTTTTGGTCTTTGTATGCTCTACTCCTGGGAAATGCCATGGTACCCAAACTCAATACATTATGGGTACTTCCCTAGTCGAGTTAATCATCACCTCCTTCAAATTTGCTCCAGTGATGGCCTTTAGTGCAAACTCTTACTCAGACACAAAACCAAGAGATACGAGTAGTCTTCTAGTCAATCTTGGTGTTTAAGGCCAGTGGCAACTTACTATGTCCAATTCATTCTGCTTTCTCTGATTCCTATCCTCAATGCCCATCATCTCTAACTTAGTTGAGATTTCATCATTTCTTTGAAGATTTTGTAACAGTTAGGAACAGGTTTTCATATTTATCATCTGTTTCTCCCTCTCCCTCCATCCCCCATATTATTCTCTAAATGACCTGGAAAAAAAAAAGAAAGAAAGAAATCTATAATTCTGTCAACTGGTTGAAAATCTTTCAGTGGTTCCCAGTTCCCTCAATAAAATCCAAATCCTTGACCCTGAAGCCATGGGAGAAGGTATGACTCTGGGCCAATGATGGGAAGCCTGGAAGACTTCCCCATTAGAAGTGCTGAGAGAGGAATTCCTCACTTCTAATAGGTCATGTGCAAGAGCAACTGCCCCTCTTTGGAGATAAGATGCCTGCCTTTGACACCTGGAAATGCTTTGGCTTTCCGTTAACCATAAGAAGAAACACTGCATATACGATAAAAACAGAAAAGCAAAATGATGGGAAATGTCTGGTGCTCTGGTTTAGATCTAGAATTCCCCCAAAACTCCCACGCACACAGAGGCAGGGCATTTGGACAGTGAGTGGATCACAGGGCTCCATGCTCATCAATGGATTGATTCCTCTACTAATGGTTCAGCAGCCGAGAATGTGGCTGGTAGGTGTGGCCTGCTCAGAGGTGGGTCCCTGGAAGTGTGGCCTGAAGGATTGATCTCCCTCCCCACCTTCTCCCTTCACTCTCTGCTTCTGGCCACCATGATGCAAGCAGCTTTCCTTTCCTGTCCCCTCCTGCCGTGCTATTTCTGTGTTGGAGCCAGCTGACCATGCACTGAAATTGTGAGTCACAGTAAACTCCTCTTCCTTTAAATTATGGGTGTCGGGAAATTTATCCCAGCAAGAAGACAGTGACTAAGACGTTTAGGTCTTGCTGATATCCCTGAGACACTGACTAAACCAGCCCAGGATGATTTACCTCCACATTTTCTGGGGCATGAGATAATAACTTCCAATTACAAATCTCCTTGACTTCCAGTGGTATTGTGTCCCCTGTGCCCATCATAACTGAAAATACCACTAAGTCAAACAAGATTTAATAAGCCTAACCTAGCTTAGCAATATTCTCTGTTATTTGCTTTGATGATCATGTGGCTGACTGAGAAACGTCACTACCCAGCATCACAAGAGAGCATCATGCCACATATCACAGGCAAGGAAAGGATCAAAATTCAGAATCTGAAGTATAATTTCTACTGAATATGTTGTACTTCTCTACCATCATAAAGTTGAAAGATCATCAGTCAAACCATCACAAGTCAGGGACAAGTTTATTTAAACTACTTCATTTAGGTTTCCTGTTACCCATAGCTGAAAGTATGTAACACACTGATTGCAGGTTTCTCCTTTTTTTTTTTTTGGTCTTTTTTGTTTTTATCAGTACCAGGGATCGAACTCACGACTGCCTGCTTGCAAGGCAGGCGCTTATGCCGCTGAGCTAAATCCCCAGCCCCGGTTTCTCCTTTTTTAAAATAAAGATGATTTTATAAAAATGAAGTCTTTCATGACCCTTCTAGAAAGAGGTCTGAAGCCACATGTTGTTCATGTTGCAATAGGAACCTTCTTCTATTGTGGCATTTAGAAAAAAATGTATTTTGTCTTTAGATTTTCCTTAAAAATTTCAACGAAGAGTCTCTACTGCAGTGAACAGCCAGGGCATTCTCAAAACCAGTCTCTCACACAATCGCACACTTCACTACTCCTCCTCACCACATCCACCCTGTCTTAACCCTACACCCCTGCAAGGAAGATAATAATGGCTCGTCAGCTGCATTCTATGGAGAGCTGTGTGTCACCGGTCCTCTCTGCTCACACATCTAATTGTGCTGGCCTGTTGTCATGGAAACACAACCAATGCTGTGACCTATGGCCTAGAGCCTCTGTCTCTTACATGCCCAGTGAAGAAGAGGAACTAGCACTTGCGAACAACATGACAATGTTCTATATTATCTGTTGTCCTTGCTGAACAAAGAGGGAGAATAGATTTCTGTAAAGAGGGCTGGGTTGGAAGTGCCATGAGAGATGAAAATTTAGTGAGCTCTGATTCTTCTGTGAACTGTCTCTGAGTAAGTCCCGAGCACATAACATGTGTGCAGGTGGATCTGAGGAGCTAGAGGAGTGGGAAGGAGGAATGAGGGGAGCAAACATGTAATGAGCACTCACTGTCTGCCAGATGCTGTATTACATAGAACAGTACACACAATAATTAGCATTTTGGAGCCTAGTTAAGAACAAGGTTCTTTACACCACTATTTTTTTAATCCATACAAAAATCTCATGAGACAGATACCATTATTATCTCAATTTTTTAGAACAAGGAACCACAAATAATTGCAATTCATGTGGCTAGCAAGTGGTAACCAGAGAAGATTGCCTATCCCTAAAATATCTGCAGAAACCCATCCTATCCTATCTCTCTACTAAGATGAGGGCTTTGGGTTTGTCACTTTTTTAGTCATGTTGATATTGAACTTGTTATTCCACTCAGGCTAGAAATACATTGCTTATAGGTCTAAAGGCTGGAAAATCCAAGAACAAGGTGTCAGTGTGGTTGGGCTCCAGTAAGGGCTCTGGTTCCATAGATATCCATCTTCTCACTGTAGCCTTGCATGGTGGAAGGTGTGAGAGATCTTTTCAGGGTGTCTTTTGTAAAGGCACTAGTCCCATTCATAAGAGCCCTGCCTTCATTACCTGATTTCCTCTCCAAGGCCCTACCTCCCAACACTATCACATTAGGGGTTAGGATTTCAACATAGGAATTTTAGAGGAACACAAACATTCAGGCCATAGCGATCTCACACCAACCTTAAAGATGTACTGCAAAGGGGCTGGGGATTTAGCTCAGCAGCATAAGCGCCTGCCTTGCAAGCGTGTGGTTGTGAGTTCGATCCCTGGTACTGGTAAAAATACAAAAATACAAAAAAAAAAAAAAAGATGTACTGCAAAGTGCTTCTCTGAAGTGTCCTTACCTGTAGTAGGGGAAAGTCTTTTGAACCATTGATCATAACATAGTATAATTCTAATGATAATTTGGCAAGATATGAATCATTATTTCATTTCTACAAATGAGAAGTCTTATGCCCATAGCGATTAAGCAACTTCCCCAAAGTCACATGGCTGAGCCTGACATGGTGGCACAGAGCTATAATTCCAGCAGTTGAGAGGATCTCCGATGAGTTTAAGGCTAGCCTGAAATATAGCAAGACCCTGTCTCAAAAGCAAAAGCAAAACCAAGACCAAGACCAAAGTCACATGTCTGGTAGTTAAGGGGAACCAAAAGCAATGGATGCCATTCCTAAGCCTGTGTTCTACTTATTCTTTACTATGTTTTAGGGCCAGTTGGCCTCTACCTGTTTACTGCAGCTTCCTTTAGAGTTGCCTCCAAAGACCAACCCTGTCTTTAACAAAAGGACCCCAACTACTTTCCCGATTTCTGAGGACAATCACTCCGACCAGACAAGACCAAACTAAAACACAGCCACTTCAACCAGAAACCCAGCCTGTCCCACACTGAACTAAAGATCATACCCTCAAATGCTGACCATTTTCAATACCTTGATCTCAGGAAATGACACCACGATTCACTCTCTAATTGCAGCCCCTCTTCCTTCCTTGCTTTACATGTGGTCCATCGCTGAGTCCTGACAGCTCTACCACCATTGGTCAAGTCTCCCCACTGCCCTCATCCACACCATTCCGGGTCCTTATCTGGATTATTGCATGATCCGCCCAGCAGGCCTCCATGCTTCCACTGTTGTCTTCTTCTAATCTGGTCTTCAATGCCACGGTGATTACCATCACCCTTTCACTTAGGTGATTTCCTGTTACTCTTTGGAGAAGATCCAGAATCATCTCCCAGAGAAGATTATGTCATGTTATGATCTGTTTTGCATTTGCATAACATCCCCTATTTTTCCTTCATGGCACTGTCATATTTATGATTAACCTTCAAGTTAATTATTCATCTGATTATCCACTTGGCATGCGTCTCCACTAGAGTCTGGGCTTTGCTTTCTATCCCTGCTCTCAGTGATGGCTGCAGCAAGCAGCAAGATCAGTGCTTTTGTGCCAGTGTCTACTGTAAACCTTTGTTTATGTGTCTGCGTCTGTCACTGAACTCTGCATTCTTTTGGGGATAGAAATCAACTCTGTCTGACCTCAGAACTTAAATTTCCTCATTCTCATAGCAAGACAAGTATTAGGAAAATAATCATGTAGATGAGGACACTGAAGCCCAGAATGCTTTGGGGGAGCCCGATATCAGGCAGGGCCGGAGCAGGGACTCTGGCTTCGGTCAGTTGCAGCATGACTGCAGGACTGCGGAGTCCCAACGCCGTTCCCTACTGGTGCTGAGCTCCGGATGAGAACTGCTGGTTGTCCTCACTGGTCTGAGATAGTGCAGCTCAGCAGCTCTGTGAGAACAGGGGCGCCTCTGGGGTGAGGGAGACCCATCTCCATCTTCCCAGAGCACCTTTTTTATATTACCCTGCAAGCCCTGACTACCATGACTTTCCTTAGGGCCCAAGGTGACTCTGTGTTACAAGGGCTGTTACAAGCAGCTCTCTCCCAGGCAGACATGCTCTGAAAGGGAAGGTCGCTGGGGGCCCTGGGTGAGTGACCTCCCTTCTGGCAGGCTCAGCCACCGGTGGGGGACCACGCACCACTTCTTCAAAAGAACTCCTTCCTCGAGGGCAGACACTGCCCACCTCCAGAAGCTGCAGGCTGCCAGGAGTTTTAAGCCTTAAATTTGCTTCCCCTCCTCTGGCTACTTCTGTTTATCTTATGCAATTTTTAAGGTAGGGAGATTGAACACAGTGCCCGTGCCTTAGCATTGAGCTACATCACAGGCCTTTTTAAAATTTATTTTGAGATGGGGTCTTGCCAAATGGTCCACATTGGATCTAAACTTGTGATCTTGCTTCAGTCTCCTAGAGTGCTGGGGGATTCCAGCTATGTACCACCACGCCCAACTATACCCTGCATAATTCATGCAAGGCTCTTCCACTACCCGTTTATTAGTTTATTAAGATGAGGTCTGTAAAACTCTGCCTCCATACTCACTGCTCTGTCCAATCTCCAAAATCATGGCTGTTTCCTACTTGTACTTCATAATCTAGGGAAAGACATTAAGAGAAATTCCAAAGTGGTCTGGGAGAAGGACAGACACCCCAACCGAGGGGTCAAGCAGGATGGAAGGGGGTAGCTGGGAAGAAGGAGTAGGGGAAGAGAAGCGAAGGCATTAGAGGTCAAGAGGTCCCAGCCTGTCCTTCCCAGGATGTAGGATCTTGAGCAGGTGTGGTCTGCACGAGGGCACCTGTAAACTCACCTTTGTGATATCTCAGGTCTCTGTCCATGTGGATACTGCATGACAGGCCTCTGTAAGCATTCCATCAGACAAGGAGAACAGATGGCCGGCCACGGGGACTCGCACCTGTGATCCCAGCACTGGACAAGGCCGAGGCAGGAGGATAGAAAGTTCAAGTTGAGCCTGAGAAACTTAACAATTTAGTGAGACTCTGTCTCAAAAATAAAAGTGAAGGGGCTCGGGATTTAGCTCAGCGGCATAAGCATCTGCCTTGCAAGCAGGCAGTCGTGAGTTCGATCCCTTGTACCCATAAAAAACGAAAAAGACAAAAAAAAAAAAAAAAAGTGAAGAGGGGGTGGTGCTGGGGATGTAGCTTGTTGTGAAGACCCTGAGTTTGATCCTCTGAACAGAAAAGAGAAACAAAACAAAATTTAAAAATGAAAATAAGGGTAATAGCATTCCCCCAAAGTGTGGCATGGGTAGCTTAAACATATGCAGATATCCACCTTAATTTTTTTTTCTGCCCTGGGGATTGAACCTAATCTCACTTTACCACCAAGCTACATCCCAGCTTTTATTTTGAGACAGTGTCTTCCTAAATTTTCCAAGCTGGCCTAGCACATGTGACCCTCCTGTTTCAGCCTATCAAGTAGTTGAGATTACAGGGATGTACCGCAGTGCCCAGAATACAAAACGAACACTCTAAGGAGTGATTTATAATTTTCTTAGGAAATACCTTTTGTTAGAAAGTTCTAAAGAAAATCATATTAATGAACTAACAGTACGTATGTTATGTAAACACAGCAATGAGAGTAGCATGTAAACAAATGATACTCCGGTAACATGGATTTAGAAAGTACTCCACGGCCACCATGGGCTTTTAACCTGCTTAACTTTCCCTCTGCATTCATCTTCTCCAATCATGAGCATAGTTCCTTCTCCACTTTGTCTGATGTGAAACTCAAAACTAACTTCAAAACTTGATCTTGGAAATTTTATTATGTTGGCAGATTTATGCTCTCTTTTGCTGATTTTCCTTCTCTTCCTGAATTATAATTTCACTGTGCTCTTCTATTAAAGCTGTGGAAAGTAAAAAGTGGTCAGGTAATAGTATACAGAAATAACATTCAAAAATGTTGGAAATATTAAGTCCTAAAAACTATACATCTGATGAGCAGATCCTGGCATCAGCATAGTCCTTCATAATTTACAAAGTACTTTCTACATGCCATTCTCTGTCTCTGCCTCTATCTGTGTCTGTCTCTCTCTGTTTGTCTGTCTCTCTCTCATCCCAGAGATTGAATGTAAGGCCTTTGCACTGAACTACATCATCAGCCCTTTTGTATTTTTTATTTTGAGATAGGGTGTTATGGTTCCTACATTGTGTCAACTTCGAGAATTTGAGAAGTTTAAGGGATTCTGCCAGGAGCCAGGGTCCTTACTTTGGAAACAACCTCCACCTGTGCAAGAGGAGCACCCAGAGATTTTGTGAGCTCCATGTCAGCCCTGGGGGCTGGGAGAGGGTAGGCTGCATACAATATAAGGGAGAAGGGGCTGTTCACCTCTCTCTGGCTCTGCCTACTGCCTTGAAGTGTTGCCCCTTTTCTTGCCACCCTGCCTTGGAGCCAGCTGAAACCTCCACAAACAATGAGCTAAATAAACCTTTCCTGACTTCATTTTGGGTGTCAGATATTTTGTCCCAGGCACTTTTGGCCAAGGTGCTTCCAGGATAGGAAGGAACTTTCCAGCCTCTGAATGCAGAGATTACAGGTATGCACCACCACACCTGGCTCTCACATGTCCTTTCTTACACCATTCTGGTCTTTATTTGTAAAACTCAAAGCTACTAATTGGAATACACATGATTATGAACCCCAGGTCAGCGACAGGACGGGAAAAGCAAGCGAGGCTTGAAGCAGCCAGATGACTCAGTCACACATGTGTCAAGACACTAGATCAGATCCAGCTCCTCTGACTCCCATTTCCATATTCCTCCAGCGTCCCTGTAATTGCTTCGTATTTCTGTCGTTTTAAAATAAGACCGACGTGGCCTTGGGTAGCTGGGGAGGGAAATCTGAAGCCGGTGAGGAATGCAGGCTCGTGAGAGGGTGGCATATGACCCGGGCCTGCCCGATTGCCTGGCTTGGTACCGACTCGCAGCACGGCCCAGTTCAGTGCCCTTCCTGGGTCACCGCAAGTGTGTTGCCCCAGACTGGCCTGGGCTAGGTGTTGGGTGAGAGCCCAGGCATACAGTGATGTGTGCCCACGCCCCAGGGCAGCCAGTCTGCCTTTCCTCAGCTCCCTGCACCCCCTTTTCTCTCACTGTCCTCTGTCCTGTCAGTTACCTGCCCGGATGGCTCCTGATCTGTGATATAATTCTGGTTTGCTGGAGCTCCGGATGTTATGAGCATTGGGGATCAAACAATGGTTTCCTCTGCACCCATTCGTACATATGTGAAACATTTCTATGCATTATCTCTGATTCTTAAATTGGAGGTGGGGCTGTAGCAGTGGTAACATGTACAAAAGAAATACCACCCACAAACTCCCTTTAACAATTGTTTTTCTTTCTTGCTGTCCCTTTCCTGTCTAAATGCAAAGAGAATTTTTACACAATTGTCTTCACTGCTACCTTAGGTTCTAACAGTTGCTAGAACTGCATACATACACTGACTACAGGGTCTACATGAAATCACTTGGCCAAAAAGAGAAAAGAGTAATTTAGCAAAAGGGGCTGGAGTCCAGCTTTTCCAGAAGGCCTGGATCAAGAAAGTTGTTCTGGATCCAAAGCAGCTCTCCAGACCTAGAAGCAAAACTCTTGATCTCCTTTCTAACCCCCTGCCATTCCTGTGTGAGCTACTCTGTGCGTTTGCTTGTGTCTACTTATTTTTGCCACGCCTCAGCTATATGATTTAGGGTCCCCAATCATGCTTTCCTATGTCATGCATCACAGCCAGGTAATCCTGTGGAAGCCACTGAAGGTCACTATCCTCTCAGCAGCAGTGTTACCTGAACCTTCTGGGTTTTTGCTCTGTGAAGTGCAAGTGTTAACAGATGCCTTGCCCTCTGAAATTTTCTTTTTTCTTGTTCATTTTTAGAACCTGATTTTTCAGCTTCCTTTTGATTTGGCAAACCTCTAAATTTTCCTAGCATATTGCCTTATTGGTCAAGATAGTCAAGACTAATTTCTATGTTAGCTTTCCCATCACCGGGACGTAATACCTAATACCCACCGTTTAAAGGAGGAAAGGTTTAATTGGGCCTATGGTTTCAGGGGGAAAGTCCATGGTTGCCTAGCTCCAAGGCAGAAACCTCATGGAGGAAGCTTGTCGTGGAGCAAAGATGCTTAGTTTATGGTGGTCGGGAAGAAGAGTAGGAGGATTACACCAGAGAGGAAGGGCCATAGACTCTAGACGCACACACAACTTCATGACCCACCCAGACATACCCAGAAGAGTGCTTTGCTAATCCCCTAGCAGCTCCCAAACCAATCAAGTTGGTAAGCATAACCACCAATTGTTCTACTTACAGCCCCAAACCCACCCCTAGTAGTTCTGCAGACAGCTCAGCTGAATTTCTGGAATTGCAAAGAGCACATTTTAAAATCTGCTGCCCTAGGATAAATTCTTTGGAATGGAATTAAGGGACAAAGGTACAAATAGTTTTAAAGTTGCTTGATAATTATTGCCAAATAGCGTTCCAAAAGTATTATGTAAATTTACCTGACCACAAAATTGCCTATTACCATTGTTTTAGTTCTTGCTAATGTAACAGTAGAGATGGTTCTTATTAATATTTTAATTTGCACATTTTCAAGACTAAGAAACTACTTTTCTTTATCTTGGCTTGTTGCTAGATTTTAATTTATGGGAAGATGATTGTTTATTCAAACTTTAATTTCCTATGATATGAACTTTACATAATTCAGATATTGATTCTTTGAATCCTTACTAAACATTCTTCTAACCTATTTTTTTATTCTGTTACTCTTCTTTGCATAGAAACTTCACATTTTTATGTAATAAAATCTGTTCATTTTTTCCTTTGTGATTTCTTCTTTTGCCTCAATGCTTTAAGACTTACCATTTCTCCAAAGATCTGATAAAAAGTGAATTCAATTTCCTGCCAGTTTTTCTGTAATTTGGCTTTTATATATTTAACTGTCTAATCTGTCTGAGATCTATTTTTATGTATGGTATAAATGTGTGAATCTAAATTATTGCACTGGCTTTTAGATTCATAGGCATTTGTGAATAAGTGAAGCCTCTGAGTATTTTGTTGTTTTGTTTTGTTCTGTGTTTTAGTGATGCAAAGAAAAATTTTCTAGGGAACCCCCAGCTTGTTTTTGAGAGAAACGTGAGTAAAACAGAGAAAGAACCTTAGACAGTTGAGACAGAAACAAAGAGAAAAACTGAAACAGAGACAGAAAGGCTGAAATAGAAACAAAGAGAAGTGAAGAATCAAAGAGCAAGAAGCCACGGGAGGAGCTCTGGGATGGCAATGAATGATCCTCCTCTGTCCTGCTGTCCCCATCAAATTTCATCCTGTTCTGTGGACCTGGGGAGGTTCCACAAGCCATTTGGGGATCCAAATTACCCCCCATTCTCCATTGCCTCTAGGCCTGGGGGACTGGAGGCCATAGAGGACAATCTCTTTCCTCTCTCCAACCTCTGTCTTCTTTCCTACAGCCAAGCCTTAGGCACACGGTAATCAGTTGTGACGGCCACCAGCGGAGGCTGTACAGTCCAGAGAGCTCAGCCTTACTCTGTGGCCCCATTCTTCCAGCCTACAATTCCCTCTAGCCCCACTTGGCTTCTGAGCTTAGCCCCGCAGATCTCTCCCAAGGTTCCAGCAATGCCCTTTCCCGCCACTGCCTGTTGCCTTGCTGAAAGCTTGGGCTCTGTAATATGAAATACTTACTGAACATCTACTGTGAGCCCAGTAAGTACTACTGGGCTAATCTTAAGGATAGTTAACTTGATTAATTCTCACAATGGCCTTTTGAAATATTATCCTTGCCAGAGAGATTAAGGAACTGTGCCCTCAATAAAAGGTCACTTTGAGATTTGAATTTTTGCCCTAATTCCAAATATTGTAGTTCTTCCCCTGCAGCAAGATACTGGGCGTGGACCTGGAGTAT